CAGCCTACACTGCAAGCAGAGCTCACCTGCAGGGGCCCCTTCAGGCTTCAGCAAAGAGGAGGCTTGGCCAGAGATGGGCTTCTGTAGAGCTCTAAAAACACAGGCCTTCCTTGGGCTGCCATGGCTTAATTTTTTTTAGGAGTTCTAGTTTCACTGTTTCTTAATCTTTTCCTTCACTTTTCTCTCTTCCTTTTTGTGTCTTGGCTTGCCTATAGTGTCTATTTTCCCTTCTTGCTTTTCCTCTGAATATTCTCACTTCTACAGTCTCCACCCTGACCCTGACCCTGACCCTGACCCAAGCTTTCACCCCCATGGACTCCATCCTTGCATCCGGAGATCTGGGACACCCATCCCCCAGCCGCTGGTGCCCGAGGTCCTGGTAAAGGTCGTTGGTCTTGTTGGTGCCCCACAGGCTGCAGTCTGGGGATGCCTGGGAGACATTTCCTAGGCTTTTGCCACATACAGCTGGAATTGCTGGATATTGATATAAAATACAGGCACATAAATTTCTCCTCTTGTTTAACTTATATACCCTTTGTGAGTTTGGCCAAATTGCTCTTTTCTAATGCTGTGAGCAGTTATATATGCTTAGTATAAAATCATCCCAAATATTTAACGATTCCCCCAAAAACATAATTAAGGAAGCATGAACAATCTAACACTGCCATGAAAAGGAAGATTGGGGTTAGAGCTTACTAACCAGCTGGGCTGCTAGAGGACTTGTCAAATTTGATGTTTTGCTTGTTTTGGTTTTTTGGTTTTGCCTTTTTAGTTTCTAAACTTGCCTAGGCTTCAGTTAAATCACCTTTGCGTTTCACTGAGGAAGATCATGCCCTTGTCAGACCACCGAATTCAAACAAAACAAGAAAATCATGTCTTTATTAATTCTTTTTAAAGACTCTTATTGTGGAGGAGACATTTTAAAAAATAAACAGAACTGTATTTTTTTTTCTTGGAAACTGTGGTCACTCTGATGAGATGTCAAATACAGACGTTTTCCTCCTACTCTAGTTATTAGAAATCTCTTTGGAGTTTCTACCAGAGAAGGAGATGTGTTGAAATGGTAAAATAATCATTTGCACATTAATAAGTGTCGACTCAGGGCACAAAAAAAGACAGGCATGGTTTTCTTCTCCCCTACAAATCCTGATGCAGCCAGCGAAAACTTCAATAAGATGATTTGTTCATACCAAAGAGTTATATAAATCTCCAAAATACATAATTTTTCTTAAATAAAGAAGAATCACGTAAAACTTCTTACAAGGTGGACCACAGACTATACTCCCTTCTCAGTCCGGATTTTTCCTGGCTGGAATCTAAGATGTTTCTAGAGTGCAACTGGAACTATTCAAATTCAAGTCCTTTTTTTTCAATGTTGAAATAATATATCCTTAAAATCTTATGTTGTGAGTAGAACGATTTGATGTCTGGGATTTAATTTTAAATGTTAGTTAAAAGAATGGAAGTGGATGACAAGCCATATCGGGCAAAACGAGAATGGACGCTGAAGCTAGAAGTTGGGTGTATAGGGGTTGATTGTACTTTCATATGTATTTGGGAATTTTCATAATACTTTTTTACAAAATTGCATTGGGCAAATGGGACTTAAAAAAAGGAGGAAGGTGATCTATTGGGTAGCATCTGCAGTTACTCACTTAATTTTCGGTTTCCAGGAACAAAAAACATCTCTTTTTCTTTTTTCTTTTTTTTCTTTTCCATTTCTCCCAGAATCAGTCCACCATCCCCGATACTTTCTTTCTGGTGAGTTCCCTTTCAAAACTCATAAACCAAGCATCCAAACCGAAGGCTGGGGGCTGATTAGTAGAGCTTCCGTCCTCGGGCCCCCTCACCGGAGTGTAAATGCCTATAAAAACTAATATCAAACGTTTTTATTGAGCTGCTTCGTTTCCCTGAGCATTGGGCCAAGCGGGATTCCAGCCCCGGGACAAAGGGAGGGTGGCTGCTATATGAGCAGCATCGGGTGCTCCAGATCAGTTCAGGGAGGGTCCCCAGAGCCAGCCAGAGGGGCTGGGGATGACAGCCATGCCAGTCAGGGCCTCACCTTCCAATAAGGACAGGTGTACACAGGTACAAAGCCCTGGAAAAGGGAATGGCTGATGGCCTGAAAAATAGAAATGAGTAGAGAGATGGACCAGCTACCTAGAACAATGTCACCAGGCCAGTCTGACAAGGGGAAGATTTTTTTTTCCTCCGGGCTCGGTACGATGTCTACATTTCACCTAGTTGACACTGGATGTGCACATTCACTGCGCGTGTGCGTAGGTCTGATGTGTGAATCTGTATGGGGATATCACAGCGCACACATCATTAGGATTACAATATATAAAGTGCCCGTAAAAGTCTGATTACACCTCAGTGTGTACTTGAAGGGGTCCTCAGTCCCCTTTCCTCTTGGCTGTGCTGGCGAGTTCCCTTTCCTCAGTTGATTTGTGCGTTAAGACTTCGCAGCCTGAACAAGGGGCGTGGAGGCCTTCAGGATTCTGGGGAGAGATGAGCTCCTGCCGGCCAAGGCCTCCTGGCTGCCCGCACTGATTTCCCCGGGCTGGCGAGAAAGCCGCAGCCCGACGGGACCAGTTTACGTGCAAACTCCCTACTTCCTTCAAGCGCTCCAAGGTCTTCAGTGTATTTGTTGACATAAAGAATCCACAGCCCAGCTCTGGTTTCCTGTTTGTTGCGGGCTTGAGCATCGAGCTACAGTGGGGGACTGGGGGACGGCAGTAGGTTTCTTTTCTGTTCGGGCAGTGAAAGGACAGACAGCGTCGGGTAGAGAGACTCCTCATCCTTTTCACGTCCGTTGCTGGCCGCCCCAGCTCTCCCTTCGCCCTGGCCGAAGGACCGCGGGCTCACTCCCTGCTGGTTGGGGCTCTCCAGTCCAGCAGGCGGGAGTCCTCGCAGCGCCGGCCACGCACCGAGCAAGATGGGGTTCCTCCTGCCGGCGGGGCGAATTTCTCCTTCTAACCCGCGACCGTTCCTGTGGGCAAGACTGCATTTCCAGGTCCGGAGAAGAGCCAAACAGTGACACTGCCTGAGCAAGGAGCTCTCCCACCACCCCCTAAATGGGCTTCAGAATCACTGGAGCCTCCAAGAGCCAGCTGTCAGAGGCCGCGCTCCCGCACTCCCAAGTTTGCGCAAACGCTGAGGAGATTGGGTGCCACTGTGCGGGTGGAGGGGTGGTGGTGGTGTGCTGGGACCTGAGACTGGTTGTTCAGGGTACCTGGGACCTGAGACTGGTTGTTCCTAAATTTGGGGAGCCCTGTCCTCCCTCAGAATCTTTCTGGAGAACACAGGATAGGGTGTCCCTAGAACTGGGGGTCTTTGTGAGGCTATCTGCACTAGTGGCTTTGTAGTAAGGGATGGAACCTGGCAGGCAGGCAGGAGAGCTGCTCCTCTAAAAACTTGCTGCCTGCAAAATCCACCCTGAAGGCAATGCAAGAATCCTGAATGCAAGAGGGGTTCTGTGTGAGTCTTCTGGGACCGTACACGTCTATTTTCAAGAGTTAGCGTGTGATGGCCGCAGTTCAGCGTCTTTCCCCACACAGAGCCCAAAACTATCCCTTCGGCCTTGAGCCTTTTAGTACCTCATTATTTCTTCAGATGAGCCAACATCTAACACAAAAGCTTGGGTGGATGACAGAATGCAACATGGCCCTGCTCGCTGGCCAGCTTTGCCCAGGTTTCAAGACCGACTCTTTCCCTTTAAGCAAAGAGCACACAGGTTCCACCCTGATGGGCATAGGGGTGTGAACCCTCAAAAAGCACACCATAAACACAGCAGTCCCCCATTTGCCCCTTTTCCAAATGGTCTGGCCCAGTGAGAATTCTGAGTTAGTACCCTGTTCGAGAATGTTCTCTCTCTCTCTTTCCTAGCCAGCTTCAGCCCCCCAACACTCCCCCAACTTCTTTCTGGATCTTTCTTGTTTTGCCATTATCTCCGCATCCCCAGTCCACCCTGGGTGGAAGAGAGAGGGTTAAGATGTTCAACAAATGTGGCTCATAAAGCTGCTTGGATACATTAGAAACACATGAATATCCTGAAATACAAAGTGTCTTTAAAACCAACCAAGGAATAGTTATCCTAAGGTTGGATAGATACAAAGAAGTAATGCCAGGGAGCAGTGCTGACAGTCTCCTCCAACTTCAAGTGATAGCAGGTGAGTTTCATTTGCAAATGAAAATCAAAGTCAATTAAAACCTAGTTTCTCTTTGTCCTTTTCTCTCCCAAACCTGGAAGCCCAGGGCTCCATGGCCCAGACTGGCATCATGAAGTGCTTCACACAGGAAATCCCAGCCAAAGTCTCTTTCTTCCCTGGGAGGCTCCAGGGCAGCCAAAGCCCTATGGGGGCCCTAACCTACCCCAGAAGGTAAGAAGCCAAGGTGTGTTGCTTGGAGCAGAAGAAAGGATCCATAACCCCCTTGAACAAAAGGCCACGCTGCAGTCAGCTCTCCAGGTTCTGCCCCACACTGCCCTCTCAGGGGGACTCCAGAAAAACCTGGGGGCACCGGCAGATCCTGGGGATGACCACAGCCTCTTCCACCTCCACCCATGCACCCTTCTTGCTCAAGTGGTCCCTGCTGCCGAAGGTCCCACTGTGTGTTCCCTGTCTTCCTCGGCCTAACCCACGGAAATTCTGAGGATAAAATCATCAAATTGAAAGTGCTTCTTCATAATCCTATAGGAATCCCTGAGCCTGGGGAACAAAAAAACAGAAGACAGCTAAGGTGATCAGACACCACTAGTTGGGCAGGCAAGCAAATCTTGACCTTGCCTTTAGGGAAAGAGGCAGAATGCTGGGAGGATCTGCGCTTGCTTCTAAGAACACAGTCCAGTCTTTATTGTTCTCCGGACCTCTCTTTTTTCTACAGTAGCCAGTTTGGTGATTGCTGGGTGGAATAAGGATCCATACTGGGAGACATTAATGAACTCTGTATCTTCCTCAATGAAATATTGAAAAGGGGGATTATTCTTGCTTCAAAGTGAGTAGAAACTCTAGAAACTCAGACCCACAATTATTCACAGAACTCATTCTAATTATATAAATATTTCCACCCATTGATGGCTACAGCACAATATGTAGCAGGACCTGCAGACTAGTGAAAGCATGCCAAGACGCCACTGACATACCTGACAGAAAAATCACATCATATAATTATAATCTGAGACAAGAGGAGAACAAGCAGGCTGCCTCCCTCTGAGTAACCATGTCTGTAAAGGGTTTTTTTTTTTTTAATGGTAGGGAGACATAAATCTCAATACTTTGGGCCCCAAGCCCTTCCTTGGTGGGGGCACCATGTATGAGAAGCAAAGCCGAAAGAATCTGAGATGCAACCCAAAGCCCTCTTCCCCTCCCTTCCCGGCGCCGTCCCTCCCAGACAAACCTGCTTGTGGCTCCTCAGCGGACAAGTTGAAATCTTGTCTCACCATTTTTGGTGAGGAAGGACCCAGTCGACTTTGGCAGTCTCTGTGTGCAAGGCTCCCGGCTCCAGTGAAGTGGGAGGGGAGGGAAGAACAAGGGGCTGGCCCTGGCGGCCCTTGTGCACCGGCAGCCTCGCCACAGCCAGAGGTGAGCTGGCACAGGCGCCGGTTGGTGGGGGCTTCCCAAGCCGTGTTTTCGTTTTTCCGGGTCTGGCTGGAAAACAGAAGAGGCTCAAAGCCCCTGCCAACAGCAGGGCGGAGGCAGAGAAGAAGAGTCGGTAAACACCGCCCCAAAAACTCCACAAAGGCAGAAAAAAGATTGTGGGTAGCCAAACAGCCAGAAACTAGAATTACAAACGAAAAGGGAATTAGGGGTGAGCGGAGATGGGTGGTGGGCCTTTCGTAGCCACAGCACAGCTGCCTTGGTCTCCAGGCTTGCATGGCAGTTCTCTCACGCTGACTAGACTGCAACTTTCAACTTGACCTTGGCCTCCAGCCGTGTCTGACCCGTATGTAAAACCGCCCTCAAGTCCCCAGGAACTGAGGCCTCGAACCCTACCCTGTCTCTTTGTCACTGTGAGTTTTACAATGCCACTTGGAGGGAAGGAGAGGGTGGGGGACGAAATGGCCGGAAAGTAACACAAAAATCAAGTCTTTACAGAGACCAGTTCCTTAGTCTGCAAATGGCTAGTCCAGGAGAAGGTAAACCGGGGGCAAATCAATATTTACCCACAACTACTAAAAAGTCAAGAGGGAAAGGGCACAGTCAGTGTGGGGGAGGGACTGGGGGCCAGAGAAGGTTTTACTGGGCAACACTTACTTTGGTCAGGGAAAACTCTGGAATCTGGGCAGATAAAAGCCTGAGCCCAGTCATTCGTTTGTATCCTGCAGGAAGCCCAAGGGGCTTAGAGAGCAGAACAGTGGGGTGGTATGCGCAGCGTCTGAGTTCAGGGCTGAGACTGCAAGCTGGGACGGAGGGCAGGTTCAAGGCTGGCTGCTCACCAATTAGCCTGAGTGGAAGGGAGTCCAGTGTTCCCAGCATGAACGTTGCGGAAGGCGCCCACTTTCACTTTGAATGCTTCTTCCCAGTCTGGGTATCTGACCAGCTCACAGCCGAAAAGAGGTGGAACTATTTGGCCCCAAACCAGCAGGACCCCCAGAATCCCTCATCAAATCCTGGCAGCTGCAAGTAGGGCTGCTGCCTGGCTCTTCTAGTACCAGCACCCACCGTGATACCAGAAAAGGGCCGCATCTCCCAGGCACACAGGAAAAGCTTCTCAGGCTGGTCCTTGGGCACTGGGCACTCTCTGCAGGCTGGAGCTCCTACCTGAAGGGAAGACATGAAGTGACCCCCAAAGAACCCTTTTCTCTTTTCCCAAAATAGAATCCAATAGTGGGCTCCCAGATGTCTGGAGAGTCAAGTTCAGCCCAGGCTCTATGGAGCAGCTTGCGTGAGGCCCCTGGAGTCCCGGCCAGCAGTCCAGCTGGGGCCTGTTCCTCTTTAAGCCCCTTCCATGAGAAGCCAGCCGACTGGAGAGACAGGAGCATGGGTGAATGGTGTTCTCTCAACCTCAAAGCCTCTGGAGGAGGAGGAGGAAGAATTGTTACTGGGTCAGATCGGAAAAACAGGCTGTGTACGAAACTGCATGACGGTGACTGTGTGCATCAGTGCACACTCTGTGTGTATGCCTATGTCACTGTGGGGTGTGATGAGCTCTGTCTGTGTTTATGGGCCTAAATGCAAGTGTAGGAAAACTGTCCACGAACGCTGCGGACAGGGAAGGGAAGTGAGCTACTAAATGCAGTCCAAGCGTCTCAGTGGGATGTTCCGGGACCACAGAGCCAGGCATAACCTCGAGAATGGACATGTAGCAAACACCCTGCCTCTGTTCCCCAGGAAGGAGAGTCAAATCGCGGCGTTGTCAAAGCGACGATAGCAGTCCTGCGGTCTCCCCGCAGAAAGACTCTAGGATACCTGGAAAGAAAACAGGCCCCAAAGCCCCCAAAAACACCCAGCCTGATTTAGGCTGGTCCTCTCTTTACCAGTCGCTCATCTCTGGCCACAGGAGGATTCTACCTGACCTGTCCCCGTGGCCTCAGGTCGCAACACAGCGGTACGCCCAGGTCCCCTCCCCGCCAAGGGAGACAGAAGGGAAGGGGGAGGGAAAGAGGGTTTCCCTCCCCTCTTTGCCCGCCCGCGGCCCCCGCCTCTCCCGGGGGTGAAGGGTGCACGGCCGTGCGGCGAGCCCT